GAGGAACAAAATGGGTGGACAATGAAGAAATGGGAGAATATGGGAAACATGTATATAATCCACTGTTTCTATGATAACAGGAAATATATCATTATTGAGATATCAATGAGAAAAGACGTGGATTAAGCAGGATATGAGGGAAAGTTTTAGTATGGGACAAAAAAGTGTCTAAAGACATGGAATGAATTCTAATTTCGAGGCACTTTGGGTTTAAGGAAAATTGCCAATTATGTTGTTATCGTTTAGCTATATTACCTAACCAAGAGCTAGCGGTCAGCAAAAGATTACAACAGTTTTCAAATTAAAATTATTAATAGTAGATGTTCCTTGCTTTTTGGCTCATACAGAAGGATCAGAAAGATATCCGACCATTCTTCCATCTGTTTGTCAGACAGATGATAGATATTAAAACTATTTGCATCAAATCACTTGCACATTCATTTTGTGCCTAACCATATTATCTATTTCTCCCGTCATTATAAAATCCCCCATTTCCTCGGTTCTATGGAAATGAGTGATTTTGACACCGTGCCTCATTTAAAAGTAAATCACTATTTGAGCAGAGGGGGGGGGGGCAGTGGGTCCTTTATTGATGTACATGTACAAGTATATATTTTTTACATTTACTTCATCTTTCAAGATCAGTACTCACTAAGCTCTAGAACTCTAGAAATACCTTTGGACCAAGGATGCATTTTCTTCATTTTTCATCTTTCCAGTGTTTTAACATAGAAAATATAAACTGAATCTAATAGATCTGTCTTTTGCCACAATTTCTATTTACTGAAGTAGATTCCCTATAGAATATAGAAAATATGGTGAGATCTTCGCCTTTCATCAGTTCATTTCAAGAACTAAATTGATAGTTAGAACAACAGAAAGATGTGATGAGTATCAGAATGAAGGAAAATAAATTTGGATGTTTACAGAGTGAATTTTCTGGAGAATTTTCAACAGATATATTTTTGGACTCAAATTATATTTTAAGACTCACATTATCTCGCCTAAGTGATCTACTCTATTAGAAACCAAAGGTGTTATTGTTTACTTCCAAATGCCAATATAAATGTGGAATTAGCTGAATCTGAGATCTTTTTTAGTAAATAAACATCTCTTATAAATACACCTTTTTGAGGCTGTAGATACGATAACAAAGTTCTTCATTCAATCAGAATATCATCAAGAAGATATTTTATGAAAAGGAATTAGAACTTCCAGTCACAGATCAGAAAGTGTTAATACGAGATTGCTCTAAACTTAGTTGAGGGATTTCTCCAAATATTTATTTGTAATGGAAAAGTTCATATATGATTCAACTTTATACATCTACACTTTCAGGAATTTTTGGGTTAAAAGATATTGGCTTGCCCTTTTAAGTCCCTGGTAGATCTGCCTCCCCCTTGGTCTTTGCCAGAAAAAAATTAGGACCCAAATTTTTTAGGGCCCTAATTAGTGGTCCTTTTTGGGCATAATTGGGCCTATCAAGGCCTTTTTTAAATTTTAGGTCTAATTATCAAGAAAATGCTCCTTAAATTTTCCAAATTTGGACCTACTTTTTAGTTTTAGGGGCTCAAAATTTTTTCAGACTTGAAATATGGCCCCCTTGTTGGTTCCCAGGTCCGCCCCTGTAAGTTATGAAATGATAAGTCCTCTTGAGGACTTGTATTCAGAAACAAATGTATTCTTCCATGTTTTTGTTAGATTGATAGCCTATAATTGATAGAAGCAGTTGTATACTTGAGCATAAGACATGGATGGAATATTAAATATATAATTTGTCATTTATCACATCATAGGTATTTTATTTAGGAGAAATAGCTTTTTGCATTACTGTATATAGTAATGTTGCAAATGGATGGATCTATTTATAAGAAGATATTAATACGACTACATTGATTAAAATACTGTATAATGCATGTTCAATTTACCTGTCATTATCCCACTGAATGAAGTTTGAGAGGGATATAGAAAAGCCATCCATCTGTCTGTCTGTTTGTCCATCTATTCAATGGTGTGTTAGCCTGTCAGGGTAATATGAGTAAACATATTGGGTTCAAATTTTACAGCTTGATGCCTTATGGGGCAGAGACAACTTGATTTAACAAATCTGTTCATTTCCACTCACATAATTGAGTAATGATATAAAATTAGAAATTGAACAAAAATAATAAGAAGCAAGTGAATTGTTTCTAATACAGATTCAATTATTGACATTTCTGGTTTTAAGAAACAAGAGCTATGTAGGATAAAAAAGATAATTTAGCATTATATTGCCTAAATAGGTATTGATCTTTCTACTGATAATGTTTACAAATGTTTGGTTCTTCAGTTCCATCAATAAACATTTGCTGGGTGAAGTTGCACCAGATGACAATCAAGCCTATTTGGACCACTTCATAGAAATTATTACAGACGAATATGTTGATGTTCACAAAGAAGCATTTTGTTTTATCATTACAGATGAAAAACCATCTTAAATTAGCCATATCAAGTATTTACCATTGTCTCCTGGGGGAGAAGCCATTTTCCTGAAGGAGTAAAGCCTCTGAGCAAGGTTAAGGGTTGATATCATCTATGAGATGGTTCAGGTTTACAATATAAACCTCATATAATTATGTCACCATCTAGAAGTGGAGACATATTGTTAGTCTTCAACTTTTTGTAGACGGTGTTTGGCTGTCGGTGTCTGTAATTTGCTCTAACTTACAAGGTGGTGATGTTTTGTGCCTATAATGTATTACATTCCAGTGATCTATGATGTACTTAAGATTTATTCATTTGGGTATACTAAATATATTTTCGTGAAGTTGAGCATTCAAAAATTAAGATATTTATTAAGATAGTTTTGAATTAGATTTCTTTGGATAGCAGCATGGTAAAAACATGTTATACCCAATGGATTACAACGTTTAACCCAAGCCATGATAATACCTTTAGTGCAACCCCTTTCCAGACTTTGATTTCAGCATGAGGATGTCAAAATAAAAAATTTGTATCCAGTTTTGAAAAATTCCTATGTAGAGCACTTTATCCCATACTTGGACGTGTTACAGGTACATAAAGCCGGTTTGTAAAAACTTATATTTTCATCAGCGGGCAGATATAGCTTTACGTCTCGCTCCGAGCGGGCAGATATAGTATATCTGCCCGCTACGTCACAAATGATACTCGCATATTTGTTCATAATTTGTAACGTTCGCGTAATGACTGTAAACGACAATGGAGAAAACACAGACAATCGGGATCTGTTTGATGGTTTAAAAAAGAGAAGGAGCATCAACTTAATCAATCAGAAATTTGGGAAAATAAATGTGGGAATATTTGAGAGAACAGGAAAATCTGCCCACGGGCCAAGAAAACAAAACTTGACATGAATATTCTAAAATATTTCCACGATTGAACAATGTTAACCAGATGACCAATATTGGTATGGGATAAACATATTATCCTATAGTCGGTTCAGGATATTGGGATTATCCCTTGGCCAATATAATATATTTTCCCTCGGGACCTGCGGCCCTCGGGCAAATATATTATATTAGCCTCGGGATAATCCCAATATCCTGAACCTCATATAGGATAATCTCTATATATGCTTGAAACATCTTTTACAGCCAGAAGCCAAGCTGACAGGCATCAGTCTAGTTGTCTCGCCTGTATCACTAAAAGGATATTGAGATCATGAGAGAATTGAAGAGAATGATAAATGTGTCAGACATGAGTTTATTACAGTTGTTAATCAGACTAGGGACCTAAGGACTTGTAAGGCCCCAAGGTGGGTTCGCTCCCATGATTCCTTTCTTAATAATATAAGGCAGAGGAGGATCAATCACTGTGAATTATCATAGCGACGTATTGGAACTATATTGTACATAGTCCCATATATCAACTATTGTAACTCTCTATTAATTAGGGGTAAATGAATATACAATCTAATATATAACAATACAATATAATATAATGCAACGCAATATAATATAATATAATACAATATAGTACAGTATAATACAATACAATACAATAGAATATGATATAATACAATACAGTACAATACAATACAATGCAATTCAGGATTTAAGTTGCTTCACTTATATTTCGATCCTGGTTTAATACCATTGAGATCCTGTCATCATAATTCTGTAATTTCCTTAAGAAAAATAAAATATTGGCAGATTTATTTACCAATATAATGTCAGAAGGAACTATAACAAGATACGGAAATCTCCTTCCAATTGGTGAATTAGTGTACATTGAAGAGTGAACTAAGTAAAGAGAATAAGATGTATTTTTGAGAAATATTCAGAAAAGAATGATCAGGGATTATGTCAGATTAGGCTCTGTAATATACATGGACACCTTTACCAAATTGTCTGACATTCTGGAAAGTAATTAATAGTGAATTCGGGTACATTCTTACCTAATTCCTTTGGGATAAGCTGTCAAATATAACATTTCACGCTGCAGCTGGTTTAGTACTGTCAGTTATTGTATTTTATAAAATCAAAGCTGTCTCCATGATATACTGATTATAAGCTCGATCCCTTATGGTACCCCCTTTTCTATAAATATTACATTAGAAGTAATATTTGTTCGTAATCTTAATATCATAATAAGATAATTTTAAGAGAACATAAAAGCAAAGTGGTTTTTTGGAATGATATCTTGAAGAAGGGGGCATACATTACATATCTCACATGGTGTATTTCTCCCGGGATATACCCCATGTTCAAAACTTCATTTAGCGTAATTTTTACTAATCATCTGTCTCCCATTGTGCATTTCCCCAGGATATACCCCATATTCAAAACCTCCTATAACGTAACTTCTACAAATCATCTATCTCCGACTTTGTAATATCCCCAGGATATACCCCATATTCAAAACCTCATTTAACATAATTTTTACAAATCATCTATCTCTGACTTTGTATTTCCCCAGGATATACCCCATATCCAAAACCTCCCATAACATAACCCTTACATATAATTGTTTACTTCCAGGAGAGTGAGATAGAAGACAGGAAGATAGATAACATGCAAATGGCACGTCTTGAAGCAGAGCTTAAAGAACTGAAGAAGGACAACCATGAACTCAGGCAATATGTGGTAGCTCTACAGGGAGAGGTCTATGGAGCAAGACTAGCTGCTAAATACCTTGATAAAGAACTTGCTGGAAGGTAATGAACTATTTAATTCACTTTTCCACTTTGCTGCTTTTGTTAAAGATTATAATTATAATGTTATAATTTGGTGCTTAGATATGTGTGAGAATATAAACCTGTTGTGTATTACAAATAGAATAAAATAGTAGCAAAGATTCATCATGAAAAATATTTTGAGTATTAAAAGTGTAGCTAAGGACTTAATAAACTTATTTTGGGTGACTGGGATCCAAGCTATGACACTTATCAGTGTTTAGTTTGTGAACTCATATGTTGCTAAAGTGTTCAATTAAAAACTTGAATTTTGCTTAGTGTTCAGTTGGTGAACTCTATTGTTGCGAAGTGTTCAGTTTGTGAACTATAATGTTGCTAAGTGTTGAATTTGTGAACTGTAATGTTGTCAAGTGTTCAGATGGTGAACTCTAATATTGCTAAGTGTTCAGTTTGTGAACTCTAATTTTGCTAAGTGTTGGATTTGTGAACTGTAATGTTGTCAAGTGTTCAGATGGTGAACTCTAATGTTGCTAAGTGTTCAGTTTTGAACTCTAATGTTTCTAAGTGTTCAATTTGTGAACTGTAATGTTGTCAAGTGTTCAGATGGTGAACTGTAATATTGCTTTGTGTTCCATTTTAAACTATAATGATGCAAATGTTCAGTTTATTAACTCTAATTTACAGGATACAACAGATTCAGTTGCTAGGAAGAGATATGAAAGGCTCAGAGCACGATAAACTGTGGAACCAATTAGAAGCAGAAATACATCTTCACCGTCATAAAACAGTCATAAGGGCTTGCAGAGGACGCTCTGATAACAGACGGCGTAACTTTTTACCTCCGGGACATGTAAGCCAGTTTTCCAATTTTAACAAATTAGAGTCAATGTTTACTTGCGATATTTTCCTTTGATTTGCTGAAATAAAGATTTATATTCAAATGCTGCAAATTTTGGATGAGACTAACTCCAGTTAGTGTCATCCTGCTGCGGACCAGTGAATAATAAAAATTAAAAGGTTTTACTGTGCTTAAATTACGAGCGGACTAATATGAGTACATACTGGCAACTTTTACGCTGCCTATGGAATTATATTGATGCAGTCTAGAAAAACAGACTTTAAATAACACAAATATTGAAGCTGAAAAGCAATTATTCAGATGTGAATACTTTTAGTAGTTTCTACTGCAATGCTTTATTTATTAGTTATCAGTTCTACTTAGTATGATTAGCACATGTTTCATTTATCAACCCTCATATCTAAAAATGTGTATGATCATTTTACTCTGTTACCATAGATACTACATGTAATCAAGTATCATATAAATAACAGTATATTCCGCACACATTTGTTTGAAGTGATTTTAAACAACCAGATTTTTTGCAAAATTTAGTTTTCAAGCACATATCTGTTGATGAATACTCAAAGCAAACTTTGATTTTGCTTGAGCACTTGTGGCTCACTCTCTATATTTTCTTATTGTAGGACCAAGATGCCTTGAGACACAGACAGGGGGTTGGGGAGATAAGGAAGATGAAACTGACTATTTTATTTACTGTTTTGTTTGAACACTTGTGGCTCACTCTCTATATTCTCTTATTGTAGGACCTAGATGCCTTGAGACACAGACAGGGGGTTGGGGAGATAAGAAAGGTGAAACTGACTAAAGAGCCAGATGAAGGCTTAGGCATGTCAATAACAGTAAGTAGAAGTATAAAGTCTCATCATTGATTTAATGTCAGTGTTAATGTAAACTCCAATACATAAACAATCAAGTGTTAATGGCTTGATGTGATAATCCTTTGTTTTTTGTTATTAAATCATAGTCACATGTTGAAATTCTTATCATTGTTTGAAAGGCTTAATTTATATACATGTACTAAGTACGTACATAGCACAAACTATCAAGAGTGGATGATTTTTTTTATATCCATCCAGTTGCAATATTCCAATGTTCATTTTTACAATTCTATCCAAGTTATCAACATGCATGGCAAACATGTTGATTGTTTATGGTTTCTCTGTGTGTAGAAGCTAGAAAAAACAGATTTAATTTTTATGTCACTACACAAATGTGAAATATTGTTACAGTCTCAAGTGTTTTAGTGACCGGTTGATGTTGGATGGTTGGTGTTCAGTGGTTAGTGTATCTGTAACAAATTGAAGATGGTGACATTTTGTATGTTTGTATGTTAATGCCTTGTTATCAAAGCGTTTCATACACCTTATATAACGGTGATCAATATGTAAAGGGTGAACTGTCACATCTCTACATTTACATCTTTCTACAGGGTGGTAAAGAACATGGAGTGCCTATCCTGATCTCTGAGATTCACCCTGGCCAACCAGCTGACAGGTGTGAAGGCTTGTATGTGGGTGATGCAATATTATCAGTCAATAGAGTAGATTTAAGGAATGCAAAACATGCTGAAGCTGTGCAGATACTCTCAATGCAGGTCAGTACCCAGAATTCAAAGTTATGGGAAAGTTCAGCACAGCCTAATTTGACATAATAGGGTTAATTCCGATTATAATTTGGACCTAGAAAAAACAATAATGCAATCTTAATTGCTTTTCAAACATCCATAAGCTTATTTAATTCATTAACAGTTTTTGGATTAAAAAGGAAATCAGAAAAGTAACATTTGAGATAAGTTTTTTTAATATGAACTCTTACCCTTTTCTCCTTTGGGGATTTGAGAATGTGGATCATACTATACAAAGGTGACATCTTTAGAATGGTCTCATGGTGCAATCTGCCTTGATGTATAACCCTTTTTTCTAAAATCTAGAAAAGTCATTTCAGGCCATTCAATCAGGACGATAGAATTCAATTCTATAACTGGAGTGATTTCTTCAGTTTCATCAACTATTTTATCTGACTCAATGGTGCCATTCTTTGGACCAGCAGTCAGTCTGTAATTCCTGTACTTTTTGAACTTTTTGCAATAACCTACCATTTTGTCATGTTAATGTCTTACATATTTCAGACAGGAGAAATAGAGATGGAAGTTGTATTTGTGGCACCTGATGAAGATTCTGATGATGGAAATGATGAATATGTAGATGAAAATGGATTCAGGTAAGATTCCACCCCTTTGCTTGTGTATTGCCTCCCCAATCTTGTAATATGTATGTTTATGTGACTGAACTTTTTGGGTTTTCATAAAAACTAAGCATTACTTGATTTTCCCATAGTTTTGGACTTGTGTGTACACAATTCCCTTTATTTGGCCATTTCATTAATTTCCAATCTGCCATCTACTAGCCTTACTTGTTAAAGGCAATAATGGAATTTGAGAACTTAATGCTAAAGCATAGAGACTAATTATCATCATTTGGAACTACATGTATTATTAGTGCACTGAACACTCTAATTTGGCAGCTCTGCTCAAGCTGTGCCCATGTGTTAATTATAAACACATTTACTAAATTGTGAGGATCAAGTTTTGCTTTGTTTAGTTTATTACTCATAATCCACAATAATTAGTACACATTTACAGATCTTATATAACACTTTTCACACAAACTATAGACCACTGTTTTGCTGTTTGTAGAACTAACTGGACCAAAGCTTGGATTTCCTTATATATGTGTATTTGTGTAGATATGCTGTAGATCTTAGGGTTGGCATGGAATGGAACTATTATCTGAAACATACAATTTAATTTCGTTACCACACATTTGTAACTGAACTGTTCATCATTTTCCACAATGAATATTTACTTTTTCGCAAAAATAAACTATGATATATGAAATCAATGAATATATCAGTTGGGAATAAAAATTGGCTGTACTTTGACACTCAATATCTTTGATACACTCTCATATCCACTTCTAAAGAAATATTATGTTCATTTGTTTTATTTTATATGTGATATTAATTCAAAGATGAGAAAAAATTACTTAAATTTTTGTATATTTGGTACCTTTTTGAATAAACTACCAATGACAAAATATCTGAATATTCTGAAATATCTGAAAGTTCTGAATTTTAGAGGCAAGTTCCAAAATCTGTTCAGATTCCATTCCATGCTATTATGAATAATAACAACTACTCTAGCAGTTCTTCATAATAATACCAATGCTACAATATATCAAATAATATTAGAAGAATACTAAAACATGAGAAGGTAACTACGGAATATACGAGAATCTATAATGAACATGTTTCCCTGTATGTACAGTGTATGAAGAACATGTTTTGTATGTAAGAATGTATGATGGACATGTTTTCTTGCACACTCTGTATGTACAGCATGTATGATGAACATGTTTTCTTGCACACTCTGTATGTACAGCATGTATGATGACTGGTTTTCTTGCACACTCTGTAGGTACAGAATGTATGATGAACATGTTTTCTTGCACACTCTGTATGTACAGCATGTATGATGAACATGTTTTCTTGCACACTCTGTATGTACAGCATGTATGATGAACATGTTTTCTTGCACACTCTGTATGTACAGCATGTATGATGAACATGTTTTCTTGCACACTCTGTAGGTACAGAATGTATGATGTACATGTTTTCTTGCACACTCTGTAGGTACAGAATGTATGATGAATGTGTTTTCTTGCACACTCTGTAGGTACAGAATGTATGATGAACATGTTTTCTTGGACACTCTGTAGGTACAGAATGTATGATGAACATGTTTTCTTGCACACTCTGTAGGTACAGAATGTATGATGAGCATGTTTTCTTGCACACTCTGTAGGTACAGAATGTATGATGAACATGTTTTCTTGCACACTCTGTAGGTACAGAATGTATGATGAATGTGTTTTCTTGCACACTCTGTAGGTACAGAATGTATGATGAACATGTTTTCTTGCACACTCTGTAGGTACAGAATGTATGATGAATGTGTTTTCTTGCACATTCTGTAGGTACAAAATGTATGATGAATGTGTTTTCTTGCACACTCTGTAGGTACAGAATGTATGATGAACATGTTTTCTTGCACACTCTGTAGGTATAGAATGAATGATGAACATGTTTTCTTGCACACTCTGTAGGTACAGAATGTATGATGAACATGTTTTCTTGGACACTCTGTAGGTACAGAATGTATGATGAACATGTTTTCTTGCACACTCTGTAGGTACAGAATGTATGATGAGCATGTTTTCTTGCACACTCTGTAGGTACAGAATGTATGATGAATGTGTTTTCTTGCACACTCTGTAGGTACAGAATGTATGACGAAGAGGTTGGTAGTGTCACTAGTGAACAAAGTCATGGTAGTCATAGTAATCGAGTTAACGGCAGCTCATCATCCCCAACCCACAAGCAGCAACATGGTGCTGCCAATTCTCATGCTTTAAATGGTGATGTCACAAATAGGTGGGTAGATATATAGATGTCGCTTAAGTATTTCATTCTTATCGCTATATTGTGACCTCACAATCTTAGCATGTCCATTAGACTCACTAAGAACTTCTTTTAGTAATTCTTCAACACTGTTGTTCTAATCACTATCACAGTATGTATTTATAGTAGAAGTGATTTGCTATTATTGTATTACATAGATGTTTGGGATGAAAATCTTATTGCAATAAACATTTAACATGAATCCTTATAGTTTTGCATCAGGCATCTGCCCCCCCCCCCCCAACATGTAAGGCTTACTGTGTCCGAGTAAGATGGGGGGGGGAGTTAAAGGCTTATGATGCAAGACTGGAAAATATCACAGTAGCTTGTTGATAATGTGAGAAACTACATAATCAAATTGACATTTAGAAAAAAAGATAATAAATCAAACATAACATAGATTGATCATGTACTGAAGACTATATTTCTTAAATGTGTATGATTTGATTACATTCGTCACATTATTAATTCAGTGGTTCAGTATTTTCACTACTTTTGTATGAATGTAACCTAACCAGCCTCAACTTTCTCTCTTTATGCAGCAGACCACGGTAGCATCATCTTGTGCACTGAGGTAGTGTGCAGGCATGGGCAGTAGTGTGCATTTATTCACCTGCATGTTCTATTCACCTGTATGTTCTGAAATGTGCAATCACCTGCACGTTCTGAAATGTGCAATCACCTGCATGTTCTAAAATGTGCAATCACCTGCATGTTCTGAAATGTTCAATTACCTGAATGTTCTATAATGTGCAGTAAAATGAATGTTCTATATGCTGCAGTCGCCTGCATGTTCTATGATGTGCAGTCACATGCACTTTCTGAAATGAACAGTCACCTGCATGTTCTGTAATGTGCAGTCACCTGCATGTTCTATAATGTACAGTCACCTGCATGTTCTACAATGTACAGTCACCTGCATGCTCTATAATATGCAGTAACCTGCATGTTCTATAATATGCAGTCACCTGCATGTTGTATAATATGCAGTCACATGCATGTTCTATAATGTGCAGTTACCTGAATGATCTATAATGTGCAGTCACATGCATGTTCTATAATGTGCAGTTACCTGTATGTTTTCTAATGTGCAGTCACCTGCATGTTCTATAATGTGCAGTCACCTGCATGATTTAAAATGAGCAGTCACCTGCATTTTTCAGAAATGTGCAGTTACCTGCATGTTTTATAATGTGCAGTCACCTGTATGGTCTATAATGTGCAGTCACCTGCATGTTCTATGATGTGCAGTCACCTGCATGTTCTATAATGTGTAGTCACCTGCCTGTTCTAAAATGAGCAATTACCTACATGTTTTATAATGTGCAGTCACTAGTATGCTCTGCATGTGCAGGGTGATTCAAAAAATGCAACATTTCAATTATTGTTAAATTACATTTTTATTTGTTTTGGAATCATCTGGAAGATTGAGTATCCAGTTTTAAATGCAAGGGCATGCCTGGTTTGAAACATGTTTCCTCTTAATCTCTATGTTGAATATGATATATAAGTTACCACTCCTTTATTCCATTAGGCGCTTTCTCTATATAAGAAAGTTCCACTTTTCTAGAGAAATAAAAATTTCACAGTGGTCAACATAATGTTTTTGTATAAGGATAGGAGACTAGCATGTCCTCTCAAGTAAATTACATTGGTAATATAACAGGCTTTCGACAATGTAACAAAAGCGAGGAGCTGAATTGAAACTTCATTTACAAAACAAATTCCACATCGAAGAAACTTATTAAAACTAGACAATATTGTCTAGCTATTGGCCAAATTATAATCTACAACTTGACTTCTAAGTAGGTTTAAATTGAGAAAACAAAAAACTCATAACCAGGACAATCATCCATTTTGTTTCATTGATGTTCCATCAAAGCAACTAGTTGTGGAACAGTGAAAGTGGACTTTGATCTCTGTGAAATGTAAATTGAAGGCTCTGCATGAATGAAGTGACAACTTACACCAGGCTCTCTCAGAAAGTGTCTCTAGTATAGTGCAAGATGTCAAATTACTGTATTTTGTCTCTCATTTTGAAAACGTGGTTCAATTTGGGAGGGATTAATAAATAGGTAACACCCAGCTTTAAGTTCCATTATGCAAGGGGATTTCAGTGTATACATAATGTTCGATGTTGATGTAAAAATGTTTACCGTTTTGAATAAGCAAATAGCTTGTTGGCTGAGTAAATCTTGATGCAGGCCTAGAGAAAAGGAATTTACCAACTTGTCATCTTGATCAAATTTGCTGCATGCTAAAATATTTCAATGTTTCATATTATTTTGCTTGTTTAGAGCATGAGTTATAGGTGATTGTCATGGTTTCTTCTCATAACAATCAGTGATGCACACAAATATTGTTCTTTATTTGGTTTTGGTATCTTAGTGCATTGGTAAAATACATTTAGTTTTTGTTGTTAAAGGTGGAGGTCATTTTATTATTCGCTATGCATTTTTCCTTTATAGCTTGAAACTGGGAATATTTGTTATAAAATTGCAAATTAAGGATTTTGGCATGTTGGAAAATGTTATGCATATAGGCCTATAAAGCATTGTGTTTTTCAATATTTCTTGAAAAATATTCTAATGTAATTTCTTTCTTTGAATTTCAGCCCAATGAACAACACAAACTCAATTCAGAATACGTCTGCTAGTCCATCTAATGACCTTGACCTTGACAAGTCTTTGTCATCTCAATGTGAAAACGTGACTCAAAATGAGGCTGTCCAAGACACTCTGCTATCTGCTAATGTACAAGCAACTGAAAACATTCCAGAATCTTCTCAAAATACAGCTGATAATATTGAAACTGATGCTCCTTCAGTCAATGGGAAAGGCTCACTGAATGCTCCCTCAGCAGACGGAAAGAAGGATCAGTCACAACCAAATAAGGCAGGTGATGAATTAGCTATGAATGTTGGTCTATTACAACCCAGTGGAATACAACAGCAACATATAGGCCCTGAGGCAACCTTTAACAGTAATATGTAGTGATTTTAAGCTAGAACTTGAACAAGTAATGGCATTGGGATTACTCCCCACCTACATGGGTATGTTATATAGTATGCCACTGAAAGGGGGGGATGAAGGCCAATCAAGTGGAATTGGGAAATTTTGATATTTGATGCTGTTTGGTGCAATTTTAGCTTTCGGATGATCTCAATGGTACAAGCATGTATACTGGGTGTAATGGACATGAAGAAACTGGAAAGAATTGAAAATATATGTGAAATTTACGTCGCATTTTTGTATTGAAAAGCAAGAAAATGATTGAAATTGTGAGGGAGAACTGAATGTGAACATTGCAAAACAGGGAGCCTGCTATGTTTTTAAAAAGCTAGATGCCATAAATTGATATTAATATTCAAATGGAAATTATGTCTCATTTATTAATGAGGAAATGCAGTACAGGTAAAATCTAGTTGCACAATTTAGTATAACAGCAAATTTGGTTGAAAATTTAGTTTTCACCATAAATGGCATTAAAACCATTGGAAGTAGTCATTTGCAATTATTTATAACTTCGAAAAAATACAGAAGAGGTTGAAGTTTTGTTATTGCATGACATCTATCCACCATAGATTTTGTATTCGCACCTTTATGTTTTGTGCAATTTTGCAAGTCATCCGTGATAATTTTGTGCAATAAGGCCAAAAATGTTCACTTCTTTGTTTTAAGTCCCTGACTGCACATAAAATAAAACAATCAAATGCAATAGGATATGGAACTCTTGAAATGGTCCCATAAGTCACCTAGTGAAGTACTGCAGTACTGGGATTAAAACTTGTTCAAGTATTGTAGGCCCCTAACGGGTTATAATGGCGTCATCTTCAAGATTAAATAAAAAATTATTAAAATAATGTAATTTTATTTCCATAGAAAGATTGTGATTTTGCAAGAATTAATAGCCTTCTTGAGAGATAGAGATCAGCAATTTTCATTTCTTAATTTGGAGATGTCAAACTAAAATTGTGATTATCTGGCCTAACACATATTTTGTCTTTTATTGATGTTTGGTATTTTGTTAAGTAATGTAATGTAAATTAAGTTTTGTACATTATATGAATGGGATGAGCTTGTAATATAAAAGTCATATTTTTATGAAGCGTACCAAAAAGTTTGACAAAATATATATTTGTACATACAATCTCTGTCAAATGAAATGAATGATATAAGTTTAATTCATTTATTATATTGACAGGTTGAATAAGACATTTTGCGTGAGCGAGGTCTCACACAACAGGTTATAACTTAAACGTATTCGCAACCCCATCTCATTTTAATCGAACTGCTGCCACATATAAATCTGGTGGCAACCACATCTCATGCTACATATAAATTTGGTGAATGCGTAACAGATTCTAGATATGTTGAGCTAAAAATGTTGCCCAAAACCTCTCTATTTATTGAATGAGATTCACAATCAAATGTACATGTACTTGATGACATGGAGGTTCAAATTTTTTATATCTTTTTTTTATCATTATGTTTTGTTATGTTTGTAACAAATGAAATTGCAGTAGGACTTTATTAAGTAGGACTTTCATCTCTAGGAAAAATCGTCTGTGATTATAGATTTTTAGTTTAGTTTAGTTAAGGCGGGCCTGGTAGAACTACTTTTGAACTTGTAAAAGCTCTAAGTTATTTATAATTTATTCTATCTGGCCTACCTTAATAGGTTTACACTTTAGTAAATGACTCTAAGTGTACATATGTAATAAAGAGGGGGATTAATATTGTTGGGATATGTTATACATATTACATATGGTACTGTATACAGAATAATAAATTATCTATAAAATTCATAAATATGGTTTATTGTTAATATATATTCCCATAATATATTTGTGTCATTCAGATAAAATTCTGATTGATCTTGAAGAAACCCTCTTTATATAAAAAATAAAACATCCAATGTTACTGTATGAAACCAATATTCATATCTGCCACTTGACGTGTTTAGATGATGGAATGAATCGTCACACTAAAAATAATCTGAATAGAGTATGTTTGAACATGATAAAGTTTAGATCTGAACTCTATCTAGTCCTGTGTCATACTACCCCACATTGTATTTTGTGGTTAAACAAATGGTATACTATAGGTTTTTGCAATTTTTAAATGAATGTTTTCATTGAAGAAATTCTAAAGAATGACTAGCGATGGTCATGGTAAACTTAAACCATGTATAACCAACTCAAATTTTACATCTTTCATTGACAGTGTATCTTTGTGAAATAACTTTTTTTTTGAAAAAATATGCATAAAATCATAGATTGAATAGTTGAAATAATATTACCTTTGCCCGATTTATTCAGTGGAGTAGAGAAAATAATATGTTTTGTGTTGTACTTGATGTTCTAAAAATCTGCATGGAGTCATCAAATTAAAAGTAATTCATAATTTTTCAGATTGTTTTCAATTTTTCAGATTTGTTTTCAATAAATCTAATTTGTCAAGTGGATAAATATGATTGAACTGAAATCATGCTAACTCACCTCAAATCATTGCACATTTAGATGCTGGGGGATTCAAGATTGGAGAAGAAAACAAATATGGATATCAACATGTTTAAATCCAAAAACAGTTTGTATTCCTCAACTTTTAAAATGACTTCCCATTTTTCTATGTTTTCTGCAATAGACCTTTCCAATAAACCTTGCCGCCTTTTACTAAATTAAAGAAGCTATGATGAACTGGTAAGATTGATGGTGTCATAGGTTGTACTTTTTCAATAGCAATAAGATCCTTTTTGCTTGGACAGATTGCAACCTACAACCAATGACATCACCAATCAAGCCAATATATCCTAGCTCCTCTGATGTACCAAAAGGTGGCAGGGCACTTAACCTCTAGGTAAAGACCAATTTTATCTTGACTAGATTCTGAAAATCTGTAGTTTATTCTGCAGCCTCCAGAACTAATATTCCTAAATATGGGACCACTTTCAATATATTTTTACCATATACAAAATTGACAAAAGATAAAATATAAATTATATACAATTTATTTTCACCAATAAACATCAAGCTGAACAGTTCGCTTTCATTTGCACAAGTAAATACATATATTTGATACATTTTGGAAATACTTTAACCATACATACACTATACACAGAGATACAGAGACATACTGAATATAATACTTGGTCTAAAATAAAATCTTGCACTGCTTTGACCATCTAAAAATTAAACACATTTTTATAATATTGATGAATAGACCAACAAAGTAAGTCACGCCATCTATTGGTTCTTACTATTTCAGAGTTTGCCATGAAGGGTCAGGATTTATTTAAAGTTTATTTTACTGGAGAGCAAACATTTAACTACTGCTAGAATTATTGATGAATCTAGTGTTGAGTTAATAGACGGTCAAACTTAGCAAAATCACCAACCCTACAGCATCAAATCTAAGCATTAAATAAAGATATAGTTAGACCATTCCAAATTATTCTACATTTAAATTCTACATTTTTCATACATGACTTTGCATTACTAGATTTCAGAAGTTTCGATTGGTCCATTTGCATTCATTACTTTTCTTAGTGAATCAGATGTAGAATTAGAACTTGGCCAATAACCATTGATCATAGCTGATTTGGTTCATACTTTGAAATCATTGTATTTTTAGAACATTTAAGTAGATATTAATTGGAAGACATCACAATATAGACAGGAAGCAGTTTTGAAGTTATATATTAGTACTTTACTAATTTGACATAATAAAACTCTATATTTTCTGAGATTTTTATGAAGAACACAGTGAGAGCTTAAAATTTAATACACACCTCATCAAAATATAAGGCTGTGATTACTGTAAATTGGGTTAATTTGGTGCTGATTTGAATTGGCATTTTTACCATTTACTGGGTATACAATATAAACAAAATAGGTTAATATTGTAATCAGGTATTTGACAGAGATCTTAATTGTCGATCTTATAAGGAACTGGTACATCACAACCAAACTGAAGCAATTATTAAGTAAATATGAGCATAGCGCCATTTATACGTAGCGTACGTACTATAATAAGGCACAAATCTCTAATCGGACGCCCATATATGGAACCCTTCATTATGTTGATTAATTGTGACAAAACCACAAGGCTCATTCTTCATATTAGAACATTTTGAGGTCAATTGTCTCCCCCTCCCTCTCTCACACTGCTCTATCACATCTCTATAACGTCACCAGAAAACAATCATTTTCAATAAATGGTTCCATTTATGAAACAACCTTTAGGATCAAGCATTTCAATTGGATGGATATTATATAATTGTATATTATATTATCTATGTACATTTCAAAACTACATTTATTCTATTCACATATTGCATTTATTTTGTAGTATAGTACCACCCAATAACACCAATGTTTAACAACTGATGTATTAATTTTCATGGAAGGCCATATATTTGTTGACAAACAGGAGAGGAATTAGCAAGAAATTAGTATTAATAAAATCAAATCATACAGTAATCTCTCCAGCATTCAATTTCACATTTTCATTAGAGATTTTCACATTTCTTTACAAATTTTCACATTTCTGAACAGAATTTTTGGCAGATTTTTGTCATTTACTTTTACCAATTCTCTAAATATACCAGGAGGGGGTTTGGATTAAATAGTATGCCTTCTACTGACCATGATCATTTCTACACCTCCTATACAACAAACAACAACTTTTAATAGCCACTAACCCTTACATGTTCAACATACAGGGTGTTTCATAATAACATTTCATAATGACTGTCATTATGAAACACCCTGTACATAGTGCTAAACATTTCACTAGGACTGTAGCTATAGTTACCCAACCCATCCCATATTCACTGCTTACTCACTTTTACCGATTACTCACTTTACTCATGAGTTTGAGTAAGTAAAAGGAATGGTGGAAGAGCATGCCCTAATATGTAGTCCTGAATATATTGTCCTTAAATGTATTGTCCTAGATCTAATCTATTGAAAATTTACACATACCTTTTCTATATATTACAATAAAGTCTGTGCTATTAGAAATGTTATGCATTTTATTGTGACCAGCAATAAAAGTAGATAATTAACCAAAGATGTTATCTACATATTTTTTTAATTCTGTATTTTTCAATATCCAAATAATGCCTCTTTTAACATCTCACTTCAAAGCAATCTATGCAATAAGCCTGTGTTTGATGAAAGTATTACATTGTGTTCATGATTTGTTTGACACTACTTGATTTTGCATTTTATATATTGGACACATATTTACTGATTCTGATTCTAAATACTGTAGAAGAGCAAAAATGTCCAATGTGTAATTCTACGAAAAACACTTTAAACAGGCTACCCATTCTAAAATGAGTGTTTCAATACATCACATAGATGGAACCTTTCAAAATCAAAATAGTTCAAAATATGATGAATTAAATCTCATGATGATAAGCATCAAAATCCTCCAGCTATCTCCAGTGGGGAAAGCCACAGATATGAAGTTACATTTGAAATTACAAAGCAATTCAAACTCCTACAAACCATTTGAAGTAAATCAATTGGTATCCTTTAAATTGTCAAATTAACAGTGTCAAAATAACCATGAATACATTTACTTACTGCAATATAGCAATTAATGTGACTAGCTTTATTTAAATATAATTTTTTTATTTCTTAAAAATTATGTACAGTTGAACTTCCGGGAGAGTACTTGACGATTAATAATGCTTCAAAAATTTGGGTGAGTTCACTTTTGACAACGTTGGCCCAAAATCACCTGAAAAGTGCTTGAAATGGTGAAAAACTGCATGATTTTGAAAGAATTTCTTGTCAGGCCCCCCAAACCCCATGGCTACGGGCCTGGAGTGGCATGTTTCTGTATATGTAGCTTATGACAAAAGGCTATTCTGATACTAACCCATGTTGAGTATACCAATGTGAAATAATCACAGAGAACTTGAATATAGTAAAGCCTGTACACATATGAAGCCCCGCATTTTAAGGACACCCATTTTCTACCATTGACTAAAATGTACATGTGATGTTCCAATAAGACAGGTTTTACTATATGGTATATAGGACAATGTACAGTGTATGTTGTTGTTTATCAATAATATAGTTAACCTTCGAGACATAAACAATATAGAACATGAAGTAAACAAACATATATCAATCTAAAATCATATTCAAATGGGACTATCTTAAAATTATTCTTACATCTTTGTGTGCCCATGTACAAAAAATAAAAATTTTCAACAATCCCAACTAATCCCTACAATGAATACTGTACTGTACATATAAAACAATTACATAGGGCCTTTAAACTTTCCAAGTACATGCAAATGTAAGACCTTGAAATACGGACATTTTGTACATTTCATTTACATAAAGTAGATGAAATTGTGAGACATAGTATTATATATGAAAAACTGCATTTTTACTGTCATCAATTTATAAATAAATGATATGTTTTATCAAATTATGAAAATATTTCATGAGCCCTTAAATGTCTAAATTGATGTGTTAAAGGCACTTGTTTGAAATATTTACAATTACAATTTTCAAATCTCTGTTTAAAACTCTTTTCATCAACAGCATACAACTTTCTTTTCTGAAATAGCCCTAGTAATGTATTTGGAATGCAGATTATGTATCTGTGATTACTTAACCTTTCTTTTCGCTAAATGATAACTGGAATGTAATTGATCATTTTCTATTTTCCAAATATCCGAAAAACTGCCACATGCAGTAGATTCTTATTCTAATGTAGTACATACAAGCATGAATACATTTTGAGCAAAAGAAACATTTTTTTCAAAATTAATTTTGTGTCAATTCTTTCATCTGTTTCATCGAAAATATTGAAAACCTTAGCATTTTTGAGATACATATTTGTGACAAAATGGCATCAGAGTTTATAGTGTGTGATAATTTCGTTCTTGTCGCGCCTTCCAGAATTTACATCCAAAGAAAATAATTGCAATAACTCCACCGCATAATACAATTCCTCCGATGAATGATGCTGCATCGAACCGTTGCCCTAGAGCAGGGGGTGGATTATTCTGAGTGGTAGTTTCCGGATTTGTAGAGCTGGTTACTGTTGGACTAGGATCAGTAGAAGTCCCTGGAGATGAATTTGTAGGAGTTACAGTGGTGTTGGGAGCAGTAGTAAAATTGGCAGTTGTGTTGGCCGTGGTTGGGATCATAGTAGCTAAAGGAGAAAGCAAGAAGCACACAATATAGAGACTACAAAGCAGTATTATAAGCACTTTCACCAGATACATGTATACTAAGCGACAGGTAATAAAGATTGGACTGGCAAATCACAAAATGATATCATTCTCAACGCAGATCATCTGGGTTGATTTCTTTGATGCATTATTATGAATTTGAAAGTAATTTGTTCTCTGTTGTTATGAGATGTCAGAAATAGCAATGTATCATGCAAACTACTCATACATGAGATACAGTGGTACAAGCAGGGCATGAGGTTTGATTTTTTGACATTAGGAGCAATAGTTTTTCATTTCTTGCAAGAACTTGCTTTGCAGTAGCAATTAATTACTTTTGACGTGGATCAGTCTATTATATATACAGTAAAACCTGTATATATTGAACACCTATGGAGCCACTGTGTTCACTGTAGGTAGGTGTTCACTACAGAGAGCTTTTTTATACAGGAATCAATGTAAAAAGTGTCTTGAAGTGGTGTTCACTTAACATGGGTTTCACTAGAGAAAAAGATGTGTTCACTAAGACAGGTTTTACTGTATATGTATCTCTAGCCTTTCCATGCCATATTTGTACAATATACACATGATTTAAGTAATTTAAAATTATAATCATGAACATTTATGATCTGTATATATTTTACTTGATAAAACTGGCACAATGGTTTACTAACACAAAATCTTTATTTCAAATAAGAAATCATATTGTGAGATGGCATGAAGTAGGAATCAGAGTATCCCAATGTCTACATACACTGATGAGAGTATCCCTATGCCTATACTAACATTGAACCTATCCCAATATATGCCTATACTAACACTGAACATAATAGAATTAAGTGAACTTAGGTTTGCTGTATTGGTGAAAAGTAAAAAGGTGTAAAAGTGACAAAAAAAACAACACAAAAGGGTAACATATTTTTCCCACTACCCAAAAACTCTTAAAACATATTTATGCTGTCAACTCAGTTTTATGCAATAATACTACAGATTTCACATAAACCAAGGGGATTGCACAATGCACATAGGCATTCATTTTCTAATTGTATGATTTTTCACTTCAATCAGACATTAAATCGGACATTAAATCTTTATTTATAGCTCATTTACCCTCCATGTCGAGCAATTAGTAAAAAGGTAGGAGAATATCACAATATCAAATACCCCCATACCTTCTTATATTTCAATGTCACAAAAGCAAAAGCCTGGGCCCATTAATAAGGGACTAAAAGCAAGGAGAGACACACATTGTTGTCTAATCATACTGTATTTTTTAATGCTGAACATTTACAATTTTAAATAAACATGCAGGGCATCACCATACCAACTGAATTAATGGCACCAATTGTTTCCTGTTCAAAATGTGTAAAATATGCTACGCCTACAGATGCTGAATGCGAACATTAACACTGAAACTGCTGAAAACAAACTGAAGCTACATCATTGTGTCATTACTTCCTGTGATATTTCTTATAGAATGGCGTCAAGTGTATGTACTCCAGGAAGTCCAAGGTTCTCACCACATTGAATAAAGACTGGCCCACCCCCATAGTATGATATACTGGCATGGTAGTTTAATAGAATGAACAAAACCCAGTGGACTGCACTGGAATCTCTATTGACAAAAATACTTCCTCAAAACAAAGAATGTCAACTTCCTTAAGAAAATCCAAATTTTGACATCATCAGCAGATATAATGCTGCAAAATATCAGATACAGTTTTTTATGGATTTCAAGAATTACTGGTGAGAACCCTGAATTTTGTTAAACATTCCTAAAGTGGGATTTGAAAATGTTGAGTTACTGTTTCTTTACTTCACTTTTTCTTACATGCTACAGTTTGATGATTGGGTATACAAATCCATGTATTGATAAAATTTTCATGACAATAGATTTGTGATGAGATTCATAATTATATTGTTTGTTAGGGAAAAGTTACCAAAAATTTCCAACAGAATGAAATTTCATTTACAACCTCAACCAGAAAAAATTGACTTCATTCCACCAGTGTCAAATTTGGCCACCATCCCTAACACTTCATATTTCATACAAACCTGTACTATTTGTAGTATTTGTCGCTGGACTGGTAGAAGTTGGGCCAGGAGCTTGGGTGGTAGTATTTGGATTAGTAGTAGTATTCATCGGATTAGCAGTAGTATTCATTGGATTAGTTGTTGTATTTGGGCTTGTTTCATTATTTGGTGTGGTTGTTTCCTTCGTTGGAGCTTGTGTTGAGGTGGTATTCGTATCTTGTCCTGAAAAACATACGTTTCTGAGTTAATATAAGGTACAGTAAATCCTGTTATAGTGAACAGCTCTTTCTAGTAAGCATCTCCTCCTCTAGTGAACCTCTGTCCTCCCTATAGCGAAGGTTTTTGTTTGGCAGACTATCTTATTTAATTGATTCTTATATATTTAAATAACTTTTCAATTTTATATTTATATGTTTAAGATGTAAAGTGTGCAGAACAGTCCAATAAAGGATTTCAAAGCAAAAGTTTTTCATAATATACTAGATTCTGTACTCCCAGTTAATTTCGCGAGTTTCAATTTCACAAATTTTGAGAACTGACAATTTCATAATTATCAAATTTCACAGATTTTACAAATTTAAATTTCATTTTTCTCTAAATCCTCAAGCGCTGTTAACTAAGTTACCTTATGTTTTATAATTGAACCTACCCAATGTTATATTTTGATAAGATTAATTTTCGCGATTTTACCACAATCGCAAATATAGTGAAACTAAACCACATGAGAAAAATACAGGGAGTACTGTAACTAGCACTAGGGCAGAGCATTTGTACTGAAAGGAGCGTTTTCAGTACAAATATGTACTGAAAAATGTACTGAATTTTTAAGTATATTTTTCAGTATAAATATGTACTGAAAAATATACTTAAAATTTCAGTGCAAAGTTCAGTATAAATATGTACTGAAAAATGTACTGAAATTTTAAGTACATTTTTCAGTATATATTTATACTGAAAAATATACTGAATTTTAAGTGTGATTTTAAGTGCAAATATGTACTTAAAAATATACTGAAATTTAAGTGGATTTTAATTGCAAATATGTACTGAAAAATATACTGAAATTTAAGGGCATATTTAAGTGTATGTAACTTTATACTGAAAGATATACTCAGATTTTGAATTACGACATCTTCCTGACTTTGACATCTATACCATGGATTTTGCTATACTCGAACAAAATGAGGTTCTATGTTCATGTTATATATTTTAATTTTGATGTCAATTAATTAATTTGCTCAAGCAATATGAGTGAAAATCTCATGAAAAACTTATTTTTAAGACTGAGAAAATGTGTACCTTTAATGTTTTTGAATTTTAGAACTTAATAAGGTAGAATGTATCTAGAAACCTCAAAAGGTATGGAATACACATGTTATGTACGATCAGTTTTAAATAAAGGGTTTATCCCTCAGGAAATATGGGTATCCAAAACCTCCCAGTACATAACCCTTATATATGCATTATATTTGATAGGTTTGATTGGGCTAAAAAGAAATTTATTGATGGAGAAAATGCAGTCAGATATTATTACACGATGCGTCTTAAATAATTTAATCCAAAAACATAACTTATTAAAAGGAAAACACTTGATTACAGTAAACCTAGCCTCTCCAGTTTGATTAGAGTCTGCTTTAAAGGATGTGTCTAAAGAAACGTATTAATCCATTAACAAAACAAAATATTTTGACAAGGCAAAACAAACCTGATTACAGAGAGACTCTTTTAAGTTTGGTTAAAGTCTGCTGTAAAGGGCGCATCCAAAATAATTTCATAATGTAACAGCATTCCTGGGGGGGGGGGGTTCAGGGGTCCAAGTGAACCCCCCCCCCCTGGCCAAAAATTATTTTAAAATCATGCACTTTTTCACAATTTTAAGAACTTTTTGAGTGATTTAGGCTGTTTTTAATAAATCCATAAACATAACTTCTAAAAGGAAAACACTTGATTACAGTAAACCTAGCCTCTCCAGTTTGATTAGAGTCTGCTTTAAAGGATGTGTCTAAAGAAACTTTATTAATCCATTAACAAAACAAAATATTTTGACAAGGCAAAACAAACCTGATTACAGAGACTCTTTTAAGTTTGGTTAAAGGCTGCTGTAAAGGAAACATCCAAAATAATTTCATAATGTAATAGCATACCTGTTGGGGGGGTTTTAGGGGTCAAAGCGAACCCCCCCCCCCTGGCCAAAAATTCTTTATAAAGTATGCCTTACATTTACGTTTTCTCTTATTTCCATTATCGGGCACAAATATTTCTCATTGCATGTATTTATACTTAAAATTATCCTTAAATTTCAGCATATTTTTCAGTACATTTTTATACTGACTTTTGCACTTAAATTTCAGTACATTTTTCAGTATATATTTGTACTTAAATTTATCCTTAAATTTTCAGTGCATTTTTCAGAATATTTTTGCACTTAAATTTGTCCTTAAAATTCAGTACATTTTTCAGTACATATTTATACTTAAATTTGTACTTAAAATTCAGTATATTTTTCAGTACATGAATTTGTACGGAAAAAAATTCAGTGCATTTTTCAGTACAAAAATATACTTAAATTTGTACTGAAACAAAACTAGTACATTTTTCAGTACATATTTGTACTGAAAACGCTCCTTTCAGTACAAATGCTCTGCCCTAGTGTAGGATCTCATTTCATTAATCATGTCTTATTTTACACATTGTCTTACATTATAAGATCACATGAATACTACAGCTACCGAGGATAATGAGGGCACACGGCGAAGGGGCATTTAAAATACCAATCAAAAACATTATTTTTTGGCAATAGGGCTTTAACTGCTTCATGTTGAATGTTGCTAGACCATAAATATTAGCATACATGTTCTTTTTAAATTAACATGCACCTGTTAATAAATCTATAAACTTGATCAATTGTAATTATCATTAATATTATACTAATGCAACAGGTACATATACACACCTGTGTAGATGTGACATATGGCTCAGATTCGCATCTTCATTTAGATATGACATTTTTTCATCTATGACAAAATGGTAATACAGTGAAACCTGTAAAGTGGAACACCTCTAGAAGTGGAACACCTCTATAAGTGGAATAGTTTTCAGAGTCCCAAGAGCAACTGACTCATTGTAAAATGAACCTCTATAAATGGAACATCTCCCAAGTGGAACACTTTTTAAAGGAACCAGAGATGTTCCACTTAGTCAGGTTTCACTGTATATAATTCTTGGTTTATCATGTACAGTGTTATAAATAAATTTTGGTGTATTGAATATATTTTTAGCACTCTTATTGTCACTATACAACAATACTTTGTTAACATATTTTAGGGGACTCTTTTTAATAAAGAACAGTGTACAATGTATATACATCTACAATTCTTGACGCAGGAAAAACTGGAAAGTGGAATTTTGCAGTTTCACAATATCATCAGGAACTGGAGACGATCCTCAAACTTTCTCACCCAAGTTTCTGAACAAACGTCCTTTTGTATTCATTATTTAATTCAGGTAAACTTAACCCACATACAGGTGGTCATATTATGTTATATTATTTTAGTTGAATTTTATAATGTGTGGTCTTGGTAATGTCAACATGCAATTCACATTTTCATTAAATGACACTATGCAATGTGATGACACTATGAAATGTGATGACACTATGCAATGTGATGACACCATACAATATGATGAGTCATCAGACTATAATATATGCTGGCACCATGAAATGTGACACTATGCGATGTGATGACACCATGAAATGTGTTTACCACGGTGTATAACCCAAACGCTCCTACATGCACGACGGAGCGTTACATTTACGCGGAAACGCTCCGGAGCGAAATAAAATGGCGGCTAATGAAGATTCCACTATGATGTAAGTATTGTTTCTCTCGTTTCTCTTACATATCATATGTCATGGTGAAATATTATGTACCATTCGATGAACAATACCGTGAGCAAAGATCTTATTTATTCAACTTCTGGTGGTAAACTGTTATTTGCTTGATCAAAGCTCCATAGTGTAGATCGAACGAATCTGAAGATGACGATTTGACCACAAATTACGAATTAAACTAGTATTTCTATGAAAACGTTTATCTTTCTGTTTAAGTAGTAGATCACAAACTCGTATATTCTCATTTCCTAAAATCCCAGTCCAAATCCATTACTTGTTCTCGAGAAATCGCTTGTTTTCCTCGAAACGCTCCGTCGATTTAGACCACAATTTTAGAAACGCTCTTACCATTTTGTTTTGATATCATTTTCAGATTATTAGAGAAGAGTTCCGAATCGAATCTATCTCTAAAAAACGTGTTATACTTGTTAGGCAAATTGAAACATCTGAACCTGGTGGTGCTAAACGTGCAATTAGCTGATTAAAGCCTATACATTAGATGATGTCATGCCTACATATGTGCTAAATCATAAAACTATAGAAAAAAACGAAAAGTTATATGTGAATTAATCTTTCTTCTATTGATGCCAAGGGGTATAATAGATCTTTTCTTTCTCTTCCTGAAAAGGAAAGGCAAGCTATATATTTCCTTAACTGATCTAGACTACCGGAGCGTTTCCAATTCACTGTGTTAACCAGATCGGAGCGTTTCTTGAATATGAGAATGTCATCATTTTTAAGACTGGATTTTCGGTCATCAAATCACTATTACGATAATGTATGGTGCGTTGAAGCATTGGAATTTGACTAAAATATACGTTGGTGCTCTAATCTTGGCTCAACTAATCACATGTATCGACAAAAGGGGTTTTGACCGGTAGAATGACAAATACGTTTTTGAATTTTGATAACTATACTGCTTCGTACAGCTCTTCCTAATTGCTTCAAACGTCAACAGCCAGCCACGTACAACATGAATATCACACCCATCGAATGGTATACTCGAAATATGTAACTCATACCTCTTATTCCCATTATTGGGGAAATTGTCAGACGGCTCATCATTCCCGCCAGACAGTTTTCCTACTCCGGAGCGTTTCTTTGTTTAATTTCAGTAATGAAACGCTCCTTCGTGCATGTAGGAGCGTTTGGGTTATACACCGTGATTACATCTTTATAATAAACACAATGACATTTAATTTTTATTTTGGTAGTCACAAAACTGGAAAATGCAAAATTTATACTCTAAATAAAATGTAATGTCAAAACTTATACAAAGGTTAGAATGAGCATATGTTAAAAAATATATGAGCAAACTTAAAATAACAAC